TGAATCATAAAGAGCAAAAAGGTAGAAAAAAACAGAAAGGAATGTGAAAGAATGACACTTGATGAAAAGGACATGTAATTGATGTCCCAGAAAGAAGAGGAAGGAAATGAGGCAGAAGTAAAACTGAGAATTTTCTAAAATGAAGAAGAAATCTCAAGTAGGATAAATACCTAAGAAACCATTAAATGACAAGTACAGAAATCAGACAAAAATTGGAGGCATTCCAAATGTCTGTCAACAGTGGTATTAGCCACACTTTGGATTACTCCAAACAATGAAAAAGAATGAACTACTCTGTGCAATTATTAGAATAAACCTGAGTTGACTTATGGAAACTAGACACAAAAGAGTACATATTATGTGATTTCAAATGTGAAGATCAAAATAAGACAAAACGAATTTGTGAAGTCAGTATAGAGATGGCTTATGGAAAATTAGGGAAGTTATTGAGTGGGAAAATACATAAGGAAAGCTACTGGGGTATTGGAAATTTTCTGTATGTTTATCTGGGTGGTAGTCATGCAAGTATAGTCACTGTGAAAAAAAATTTATTGAGCTCTGCAAATTTATAGGATTTATAAACTTTATGTTTATATGTTATTCTTTTTTTAAATTTTTTGAAATTGATTTCAGAGAGGAAGGGAGTGGTAGAGAGATAGAAACATCAATGAGAGAATCATTGATTATCTGCCTGCTGCATGCCCCACACTGGGGATCCAGCCTGCAACCTGGGCATGTGCCCTGACCGGGAATCAAATCATGACCTCCTGATTCAAAGGTCAATGTGCAACCACTGAGCCACGGTGGCCAGGCATACATGTTACTCTTCAACAACCAAAAAACAAACAAATAAACAAAAAACACCTAAACATTGAATGAACTTTACCAACAGCCCCAACACTAAAGAAATATGAAAAGGTTGTTTAGGCAGAAGAATTTAGATGCAGTAAGAAATGAAGAATACCTAAAAGTCAAATAGTGGACCTAATACTTCCTGTACTTTTGGGAAAATCACATAACTTCTAGGTCTTACTTTTCCTTTCATGTAATGAGGGATTTGGATTAAATAATATATTAGGCCTCCTCTCTTAAAATGTATTCTGGAGATAGGGCATGGAAGAATTTGAGAGTTTAAGTTTAACCCGGACATACTAATACCAAAAGTAAAACAAAGTATTTGATGAATCAAGAAATTTGAAATTAGGAGGAATTAAATAATGCAGTATAAACAGAGGAAAGTTTACTTTATTTATGTATGCACCAAAGCTAAAGTAAAAATAATTTCAGGACTGACTTACTGTCTTAAAGAGCAGTATAGTTGATGTCTCACTTTCTATAGTTATATACAAATATGCCCCTTTTAAGTATGGATAAGTCCACAAAATTAAAAAGCCCAATGTTTTTGTGTTAAAGATTCTTATTTCTCCCATTTAAAAAACATTTTTTAAATTGATTTCAGAGAGGCCGGGAGAGGTGGGAGAAAGATAGAAACATCAATGTGAGAGAAGATTATTGATTGGCTGCCTCCCTCATGCCCTCCACTGAGGATCCAGCCCCCAGCCTGGTTCAAAGCCATGCGGGTTGGGCTTTTTCTCCCATATTAATTGTAATAAATCATGTAATGGTTGGATATCCTTTCTTTTATGGTTGGATATCTTTATTTCTATTTATTAAATCTAGTTTGTTATCCAGATAATATTCAAAGAAGTTTGATTCTAGGATGCAACCTATGTTTATTTATTTATTATTTATTGATTTGAGAAGGAGAGAGAGAGAAACATTGATTTGTTGTTGCACTTATTTTGGACAAAAAATTTGGTTTGTCCATTCATTGGTTGCTTCTTGTATGTGCCGTGACTGGAGATCGAACCTGCAACCTTGGCGTATTAGGATAACATTCTATCCAACTAGCTACCTGGCCAGGGCAAGCTATGTTTATTTTATAGATCAATATGTAATTTCTGTTTTCTTTGAAGTGGTTGAGAATGATTTGGTTTTCTAAAGAAATGACTTAGAAGTAGAAAACTTTAGCAGTAAAGAAACTTCCTTTCTGAGTACTTGGCAATAAAAAAACTTTATTGGCATATACTTCATATTAACCAGATTTCAACATATGGAATGAAATAATTTCTTTGTTACTTGTTCTATTTTGGTTTTGCCTGTGAAATAAAAGACATCTGGAAATAGGACAAAGAAAGTTAGAAGCAGCAGGTAGCAATTCAGAAATGAAAATAGAATTATTAATTTTGGTAGTATTATATGAGGCCTTTAGAGCTGTGATAGGTGGAGGGGGCAATAGGCCTTGTGCTGATCACACAAGCTATTTTATTTATTTTGTTTTACTTTATTTTATTATTTTTTTTGTTAATCTTCACCCAGGGATATTTTTTCCATTGATTTTTAGGAAGTGTGGAAGAGAGAGGGAAAGCCAGAGAGAAACATCGATGTGAGAGACATCGATTGGTCGCCTCCTGCACAAGCCCCTATCAGGGCCCGGGGAGGAACCTGCAATCATGGTATGTGCTCTTGACTGGAATCGAATCCAGGACCCTTTGGTCCGCAGGCTGACGCTCTATCCACTGAGCCAAACTGGCTAGGGTCTAACAAACTACTTTTGAATAGAGTCTCATTTCTCAAAGTTTCACATCCAATAAATGCAGGATCTCAGGCCCCTCCTAGGACCTAATGATTTCGAATTTATGTTTAAATCAAAGATTCCCAAATGATCTCATACATGTTAAAATTTGAGAAGCACTGTTACCTGTACATCACATTGTACGATTTTGAAGCAATAATAATATATTATTGGAGTCAGGCAGACCATATATAAAGGCTTTCTATGTTAATGCATATGAAATAATATTTTAGAAGGCTCGGAAGTAATTGTGGAAGGACTTGCTTTAAAATGTTATGTCTAGCCTGGCTTGTGTAGCTCTGTTGGTTGAGTGATGTCCCGAGCACCTAAAGGTTGCTGATTTTATTCTCAGTCAGGGTACATGCCCGGGTTTCAGGTTTGATCCCCGGCAGCTGATCAATGTTTTGCTCTCGCATTGATGTTTCTCTCTTCTCCCTTCTCTTTATAAAAATTAATTTTAAAATGTTAAAAAATAAATGTTATGCCCAGCATGGCCAGAATGGCTCAGTTGGTTGAATGTCACCCTGTGCATCAAAAGGTTGCTGGTTCAATTCCCAGTCAGGGTACATTCCTGGTTTGTGGGTTTGATTCCCAGTCAGAGCACATATGGAAGGCAACCAACCGATGTTTCTCTGTCACATTGATGTTTCTCTCTCTCTCTCTCAGCATGTCCTCTGAGGAGGATTAAAAAAAAAAAAAAAAAAAGGCCCTAGCTGGTTTGGCTCAGTGGATAGGAGCTTGTGGGACAAAGGGTCCTAGGTTCGATTCCTATCAAGGGCATGTACCTTGGCTGCAAGCTCCTCCCCAGGCTGGGCCCTGTTGGGGCGCATGCAAGAAGCAACCAATCAATGTGTTTCTCTCACATTGATGTTTCTCTCTGTCTTTCCCTCTCTCTTCCACTTTCTCTAAAAATCAATGGAAAAATACCCTCAGGTGAGGATTCAAAAAAGGGGGGGTGGGCCTGATTGGTGTGCCTCAGTGGTTGAGCATCGACCTGTGAACCAGGAGGTCTAGGTTTGATTCCTGGTCAGGGCACATGACTGGGTTGTGAGCTCCATCCCCATTGCAGGGCATGTTGGAGGCAGCAATCAATGATTCTCTCTCATCATTGATATTTCTATCTCTCTCTCCTTGCCTCTCTGAAATCAATAGAAGTATTTAAAAAATAAAAATAAACTATATTAAAATGTTACATCTCAATTACATGTATTTCAAAGTATTTTGAAAGGAAATGTATTGATGTCTACATATTACTTGAAATATATAAAATATTTCTAAGGGGCCAAAACCGGTTTGGCTCAGTGGATAGAGCGTCGGCCTGCGGACTGAAGGGTCCCGGGTTCGATTCCGGTCAAGGGCGTGTGCCTGGGTTGCGGGTACATCCCCAGTGGGAGATGTGCAGGAGGCAGCTCATTGATGTCTCTCTCTCATCGATGTTTCTAACTCTCTGTCTCGCTCCCTTCCTCTCTGTGGAGAATCAATAAAAAATATAAAAAAAAAAATATTTCTAAGGATGTATAGATAGAAAGATGTGTTGAAGCAAAAGTAGTAAAGTAGTGTGGAGGGAGGACAAAGACTGTAAAGGGGGTCAAATATGTGGTGACGGAAAGAGACTAGACTTTAGGTGATGAGCACCCAATGTAATATACATATGTATTTTAGAATTGTATACCTGAAATGTATATAATGTTATTAAACAATGTTACCCCCCAAAATTTAATTTTAAAAAATTAAAAAATGCTGTGGAATCTATTTGGTGTGCATATAGGAGTTAACTGTACAATTCCTTCAACTTCTCTATATGCTTTCAATTTTTCATAGTAAAATGTTAATGGGGAAACTGTTATGCAAATGGAAATCATATACCACACTCTGTAGTTATCTTTGTGTTTTCATATTTGCTTTATTTTATAATTAATTGGTATTTTGTTCCTAGGGAAGAAAAAATGGCTAATATTTTTTGCAAGTGCCTTGTACCAAACATAAGGCTTTACTATTACACTTACTATTACACTTTCATGAGTTAGATATGATTGTCAGTTTGTAGTTGAGAAAACCAAGACATAGTTTTATATACTTGCACAATTTAGTAAGCTCAGAGCATACCTTTTGAACCTGGGAAGTCTGACTTAAGAGTTGATGGCTACCAAATTGCACAATTCCAGGGCCAGTTTTCATCATTAGCACAATAGAGTATCATTCACTTAGAATACAAAGTGGGTAGTTCCCCTGGGATTGTGTAACAAGACTGCCTGGCCTTAACCACTTGCTTATATGACTACCTCACTATTCTTAGACTTTTAAATATTTTTCTGATGTGAATTTTGAATTGTTCCATGACTTTTTCTTGTTTTTTATTTTTAAGATTCTTGGATCTCCCAGTCAGCATCATTTCCGCGTAATCAGAAACAGCCAGGGATGGATTCTTTATCACCAGTGGGCTCACTTCCTAAACAGATTTGCCAGTCTTCAGCCAAACAGCAACTTACTAAACCAGCTAAAATCACTTGTGCACACTGCAAAAAACCTTTACAGAAGGGACAAACAGCTTATCAACGAAAAGGATCAGCTCACCTCTTTTGTTCTACCACCTGCCTTTCCTCCTTCTCTCATAAGCATACTCCAAAGAAACACAATGTAATGTGTAAAAAGTAAGCTGTACTTTTTCCATATGGTTGATGCTGACATTGTAAATGTGTGTTCTGAATGTAATTGGAGAACTGCATAAATTCATGGGTAGAACTGTTGCAGAGGTGTCCTCAAGTTTATTGAGCTTGAGTTATCTTAGAGTTTGTCAGAGTTCAGAATTGTCAGTGGGCTTATTTGAGCTGTCCTTACTCTCAGCAAGAAAATGGAGTGTGGATATGGAAATAAATTGACCCTTTCCCTGCCACCGACTCTGCCTCATCAGCCCAACCCCCATCTTCTTCAGTTCTACCAAGTTGCTAACACGTGTTGTTGTTTTTAAATCCTCACCTGAGGATTTATTTTTATTAATTTTAAAGAGAGAGGAAGGGAAAGAAAGAAACATCAATGTGAGAGGGAAACATCGATTGCTTAGCTTTTGTAGGCACCCCTGCCAGGGATGGAATCCACAACCTTTTTGGTATATGGGATTACGCTCCAACTAACTAGGCCTTCCTGACAGGGTTTGCTACCACCTTTTTGATTGCTTCTAAAAGTCATCAGAATCTATGGCAAGGATCTTGTGATGCAAAATATTTTTATTTATAAGTCTTTTCTTTCTATAGGAACTCTTGGTGATGAAACAAAAAAAGTGGATTTTTCTAGATCCCCAAGTTATAGTTGATTTGTAGTATTAAATTATGAGAAAATGAAACTGTCCATTATTTTTCATATATTTAAAAATAAAATACAGTGTTGTTAAATTGTGTTTCTCCCTGTGTTTCAGAGATGTACCTGCAAAAAGGGCTACTGTTGTTCCTCAAGTGCAGTTGAGCCAGCCCTTCCAGGAATTCTGCAGTACATACTGTGTGTCTCCCTACGAAGACAACCAGAGTCTCAGAAAAAGAATTTCAAATAAATCAAGATGTACAGTCTGTAGTAAACTAGCAGAGGTCTGAGTTTTTCTATCTTAAGTTATTACCTACAATAACTTTAATATGTTTTTTTAAAAATTGATTTGAGAGAGAGAGGAAGGGAGAGAGAGGGAAAAAAACTTGAAAATGAGAGAGAAACATCAATTGACTGACTCTTGCATGCTCCCCTACTGGGGATCGTGCCTGAAACCCAGACATGTGCCCTGACTTGGACTTGAACCAGTCACTTTTTGGTGCATGGGACAACCCTCAACCAACTGAGCCACACTGGCCAGGGTTCTAGGATAATTTTAACTGTTAAGTGCTATTCTGTGCTCTGCCATCTACATAATGCACATGTCCTGAATCTGCACAGTGAAGTTACAGGAAGGACTAAGGATATGCCAGAACTATTTTATAAACAAATGTCTTATTTGCACAGTATGAAAAATATACATCTGTTTCTATAGAATTGGATGTACTCATCCATAGAGTAATAGTTGTATAGTGGATTTTGTTCTTACCAGACACGGTAAATTAAAATGTAGGTTCAGGACACAAAGGAAGCAACCAGTCCTGGTGCAAGAACATATAGAACATGTGGACTGAAAGTATGTTGATAACTTCACATTTCTTAATTGGTATTGCCATCCTTCCAGTTCCTGAAAGAAGAAACATGCATGTAGGCAGTCCTGACTTAACACAGTGCTTGGTAACAGTTTGGTGTTGGTTTCTGCAGAGCCATGCAAATCCAGGACACAATTTTATCTCAGTTACCACAGAGCTGAGCAAAGCAAGAACCCCTTAGTCTTGTATATCCAGACAACATCCAAATATGGAATATTGATTCACTTAGTCCCTCCCACAAATTATCTAGATCAATGAAGCTTATATGACTAAGAATTCTCAATCCATTTCTTTTAAGTGGGTGGTATCAAAATCTTTTAAATCCATTCATTTTCTGGAATGCTTAAGTTTCTCTGGGGAAGTTATTACTGATTTTATTGTTTTTTGTTCTGTGTATCATATTTTTATAAAAGTCAAAGAATGATTTTACAAAGAAATCAAAGATAAAAATGAAAGAATAATGAAATGGGCTTTTTAGTCTTTTTTCTGAATATTTTTTCCACTGAGAAGTTACAAGAGTGTCTTTGTTGAAACTAGTTATCTCTTGCCGTAACTGGTTTGGCTCAGTGGATAGAGCATCGGCCTGCAGACTGAAGGGTCCCAGGTTCGATTCCGGTCAAGGGCATGTGCCTTGGTTGCGGACACATGCCCAGTGGGGGGTGTGCAGGAGGCAGCTGATAGATGTTTCTAACTCTCTATCCCTCTCCCTCCCTCTCTGTAAAAAAATCAATAAAAACATATTTTAAAAAAAATGAAACTAGTTATCTCATTGCTTACTGTGCTAATCTGGCTTATTTATTTAGTAAATTCTCATTTTTCTTTTAGATTCGCCATGAAGTCAGCGTTAATAATGTGACACACAAACTGTGCAGTAACCACTGCTTTAACAAGTACAGGTTGGCTAATGGTCTGATAATGAATTGCTGTGAACATTGTGGAGAGTACCTGCCTAGCAAAGGTTCTGGAAACATTGTCCTGGTGATTGATGGCCAACAGATGACATTCTGCTGCCAAAGTTGTGCTAATGAATATAAACAGGTAATTCTTTTCATTAATTTTAGATGATCAGGTATACAATAACCTGTTAGCTTACATTAATCAGATTGATCTTAGAATTTCATTTAGTTCCACTTTTGTCAATCTGTCATTGAGGTGTCACATCTGAAGTGAGTATTGAAATCAATTGTTGTAAGTTTGTTTAAAATTTTTACTTTTTGCAGACATTACAAGTAGTTCTTTTCTCTACTGTTTTACACTCCCACTGATAACTCGATAGTTCCAGTTACTTCACATTCTCCACAAAACTTGGTGTTGTCTGTTTTTTTGGGTTGTTTTTTAAAATATTGAGAGATAAAGATAGAAACATCAGTGAGAGAGAAACATGAACTGGCTGCCTCCTACATGCTCCCTACTGGGGACTGAGCCCGAAACCTGGGCATATGCCCTGACCATAGCATGTGCTATGACCTCTTGGTACATGGGATGATGCTCAATCACTGAGCAACACTGGCTGGGTGGTGTTATCTGTTTTGATTTAAGGTATTCTAGTGGATATAAAATTTGCATTTCCTCAATAACTAATGTCCCCCTTTCATCATTCATATATCGTCTTTTGTAAAATGTCTATTCCAAGTCATCTGCTCATTTTTAAAATTAGGTTTTTGTATTATTGAGTTATAGGAATTCTTTATATATCCTGGATGCATATCTTTTATAAAATAATGTATTGAGAAGATGTTCTTCTGGGCAGTGTTTTGTTTTTTCATTTTCTTACTGTTAAAGAAAAGTCCAAGGGTTTAATTTTGTTGAAGTCCAATTTACTATTTGCTTTTCTGATTAATACTTTTTGCATTTTGGTTTTTTGTTTTGTTTTGTTTTAAATATATTTTATTGATTTTTTTACAGAGAGGAAGGGAGAGGGATAGAGAGTTAGAAACATCGATGAGAGAGAAACATCGATCAGCTGCCTCCTGCACACCCCCTCCTGGGGATGTGCCCGCAACCAAGGTACATGCCCTTGACCGGAATCGAACCTGAGACCCTTCAGTCCACAGGCTGACGCTGTACCCACTGAGCCAAACTGGTTAGGGCTGCATTTTCTTTTAAGGCATATTTGCCTACCAAAGTTATGAAGATATTTACCTTTATTTCCTGGTCAGGGCACATCCCCAGGTTGTAGGTTCAATTCCTAGTTGGGGGTACATACCGAAGACAACTGATTGATGTTTCTCCTCCCTCTCCCTTCCTCTCTCTTTCTAAAATCAGTAAGAACATATTTTTAAAAATTAATTCAAGATGGATGATAAATATAAAACCAGGAACATTCTTCATCCTCATTGAATAAAGGTTTAAGTGGATAGTTTTTAGAGAAAAGTAACTCAAGTGCAAGGCTATTAAATAATAGAGGAAACAATAGATACCCATAATTGACTGTCAGTTTTTGCAAAGAAAGCTAGTTTTTGTTCTCTTCATTCTTAATATATAGTGCATCTTGCATATAGCTAAGCTGTTGGATGTGGCTTCTAGAAAAGCATAGTGAACAATTAATAAATAGCAAAAAGACAGTATAGATTATCTTTTCAAAAGAGTACATGGCAAAAATAACCTAATGAACCTCAGATTGGTAATAAACAACTATTTTAGATCTTAATATTTTTACAAGTCTTTTTTTAGTGGATGATTTACCTGTATCTGTGTACATTATGAGTTTTTTTTTTTTAATTAAATCTTTATTGTTCAGGTTATTACAGTTGTTCCTCTTTTTTCCCCCCATAGCTCCCCTCCACCCGGTTCCCAC